AGTATGCATTCATATTTATTTAAAAACTAATCATATATACTAAAATAAATTCAACGTTGCGAAAGCTCTAGGTAACAACATCCAAAACAACATATTGCTTGAAAAATTAATAAATATATTATTTAAAATAATGAAATAAAATCTGTTGGGAAGCGAGGCTTAAATTACGTAGTGGATATTAAAATTTAGAGTCCCAATCTCGATTTCACCCAAAAACAACTTACGTAAATTAAATTACAACCTATAAAAAGAATTTTAGGGTCCCAATCTTGATTCCACCAAAGAACAACTTACACAAATTACAAGCTATGGCAAAAATTTTACCTCAACGGTAAAAACAGAGTGACGGTCAAAGACGAAATTGATGAGATGAACATAGCGCCAAATGTATGCTGCCTCTAATGTATCCAAAATACTACGATGGATTGAAAGTGGTCGCAAATTCCGTCGTAAAGCCTAATTGCGAGAGAAAAGAAGCCATTTGCGACGGAAGTTTTCCGTCGCAAAAACATGAATTCTTGTAGTGGATGGGATGGTCGGGATAGATGTGTGAATTGGAATTACTGTTTTTAAAGATATGAATTAATTATGTTTGTATTGTGTTTAATTAAGCTTCCACAATATTAAATTACTTCGTTATTATCTTGAATGATTTATTATGAAATAAAGTTTTAAATGTTTGAAATGTTTTAAATTTTTACAAATACCAAGTTTATACTTTAGTCTGAAAGAGGCTGCAAACCTGGACGGATTAGGGTGTTACAATTGTTTATCTTGGCTTCAGAAGTATGAACGAAGTGAAATGGCATGCAATTTTAGGATCCATTAAATATTATCTTCTTGAACTGATTTAGAGATGTATTAAAGACAATTAGTACTTGGTCGACTACAAATTTATATTTTTGTTCGCATCATTAGATTTTTTGGTGAAATATTTACTATTGTTTTATGATTCTAATGTTTTACGGTATTATGGATTTCCATTTTTAGTTTTACAGTGCTTTTAATCTATTTATAAGCATTTAGATTTTTAAACGGATTCAAATATTTTTGTTCGGATCCAGACATTCAATTAGTTTCAAATATCTAATTTATACACAGTTGCTTACACCAGTTCATTTGGGGTACCTACGGTGCCCTGTTTATAAAAATGACGGTTACTATCTCCTAACCCTCCACCTAAACCCCTACCCCGGCCCCCTTTCCATCCCCCTCCCTACCCTGGCAGGGGGTGGGAGGGGGTGCTGGAGTGGGGGGCAAGGGTGGGGCTGAGGTGGGGGGTTTAGGGTGAGGGTTAAGGGAGGTAAGAACCATCATTTTTACAAAGAGTGCATCGTAGATACTCCAAACGAATTGGTGTAAGCAAATGATACCAGTAGTATTAGTGTCATTTTAGACTTACTTTTTATAAAAATACGTACTCCGTAGTTTTTAAGACCATTTTAGGAATTTGCAGTTAAAAGAACAACAATTTCTAAAACTAACTCATTTTTTCGGAAAATGATTTTGAAGAAATAAATTTAGGGAGAAATACGAATATAGCACTTTAATAGGCTTATAATACGCAAATAGCAGTGCTATTAGTTTTTGAGATTAATTCCCAATATTGCCCTTAATTAAACAAATTTGTATTATACTCAATTAGGTTAAAAAGTAGTAATTGGCCGCCTACCTTCATGCAATGTTTACCGAGAATTTACTGCTAGAGCTCCAAGACCTTGAACGCGGTAGTGGTTCACACAATATTACCAGGAAAACATTAGGCAATGAATTTTTTGTGGTTTTAGCAAAAGATTCCCCCCTAGGCAGTGTGTTTTTTTGTAACGTAATGGTTTTTTGGGTACTTTAAAACCGTTTAGGTTTTTTTTGTGAATGTTGGACGTAATTTTTTTTTGGGTTTTTTGTTGCTCGGCAGTGTGTTTTTTGAATTTTTTGTTCTCCACTGAAACACAATCAATTTTTTTTGGGGTTTTTGTTTCTTGGCTGTGTGTTTTTTGAGTTTTTTTTACCTGAGGCAGTGGGTTTTTTTTGGTGAATGTTGGCAGTGGGTTTAAATTGTCGTTGGCAGCGTGTTTTTTTGTGAATTGATAGCAGTGGGTTTAACGAAGAATAGATCATTGATTTGATAACAAACACTCCCTTCCCAAAAACAATTTTTCATTTACTGTTTACATGGAAAAAACTATAAAAATTTAATTACATGTAGTGTGAGTGATCTTACCTTTGTTGAATATGTAAATAATACTCAATGTTTACTGACTTTGAAATATGTATACATATGCAGGTGTAATTGTGGTATGTTTGTGGTGAAATTCACGGATTTTCTAATGATGGATTTAGACATACAAGAAGTGCAGTCATGTGACATGGAAGCTTACCGGGTTAAAATGACAACAGAATTTTTAGCTTATAACTATGAAAGAAAGGCAGAATCCAGGAAGCAATAAATTTTTCTCTGTTATGTTGGATAATTTAATCTTCGTATGACAGTTGTTTGGTGTTTGTTTGTTTAAATTTTTCGGTGTTATTCATGACAGTTTTTTTTAGTAATAATTTATGGGCATTTAATTTATAAGTGATTTGAGAAGTGGATTAGTGGAGAGTTTTATACAAGTGCTTATCATTGATTTGACTTTTTTTTGGAGCATACATTGAAATATGTTGTCAATTTAAAGAGTTTGTATGGAGCATACATTGCAACCGTTCATAGCTCACTGACCAAAAATATTGGAAAAAATACATTGCCAAAAGTTATACGCAGACCACGACCATTTCACACTTCCAAAAAACTTTACGCTTACACTGCATATCCACTTTATATGGAACTCAATGAATAATATATGATAGTGAGATTTTTATATATAAATCACATTTGACGAAAAAACACTAGCGAAAGTTGGTCATAGGACACTGCCAAAAATTGTTGATAGACGTTGGGAGACCCAATACACTGTCACAATATATACACTGTCACAATATATACACTGCCACAATATATACACTGCCATATTGTTAACCAGAATAAATACTTCCAAAAATTCAATGTCTGAAATACTCTGCCACAATTTATGCGCTACCTAAAATTCAATGTCTAAAATACACTGCCACAATATATGCATTGTCTAAAATTCAATGTCTGAAATACACTACCACAATATATACACTGCCACAATATATCTACACTGCCACAATAAATACACTGCTAAAAAAATCACTGTCCTAGTACACTTCCACATTTCACAAAGAATTTACTCCGGGGTAATAAGAATTAAAAGAATGCAACTTATACCATATTCACTTTTTGCAATCCAATGGTGCAAGTAGACAAAGTATTATATATTAATTCAAAATTCAAATTATATTATGAGTACAATTATTGAAAGAATGAAAAAACCAAATAATGTGTCTGAACAACATCAAAAATGGATGAATGAAACAATTGAGAATTGTATATTATACGAAATATGAAACAATGCAGTGCCAGTTTGGTATTGAGTTTTTTTGCATGTTTTTACATTATGCCCCAAATTCAAACAGCTGTGCATCTTTGCTTTCTACGCCTCTGGCCTATTTGAAATTCACCAACCGATGGAAGTCTCCTCTTCTTTGGTCTACTCGAGGGACGCTTATTACAAGATGGAGGCTTGCAAATCACTAATGCAACATCCGGTGGAACACTCCAAGAAGACTTATCTCCTATTGGGTGCACAATGCCATTGTAAGTAGCAACTAATGATTCCCATTTGTAATATGGTGAGATGAAATCAAAATATATCCCCTGCATCCCAAAAAAGAGTCTAGTTGTTGGACATATTTTGTCTCCCAAAAAAATCATATTAGTCAAAACAATCTAATATTTATGCTTTATAATAGTTTTTCTTATAACAAAACATCTAAATTTTTAAAAGGGCCAACAGGCAATCCTTATAGCAGAAACATTAAAAGCAAGAGAAAATAACAACTACACCAGGTGAGCCTTACATCCAACTAGTGCAGACTCTCACTGCCATGTTTGCAATGTCTTTCAAAACATCTAAATTTTTAAAAGGGCCAAATACTTGGTATTTCAAAAATGATATCACAACACCTAAACATCACACTGCCAACTACAGTTCAATAAACACTGGCAGTGTGAAATCCAAATAAGTGAAAGGAATTGCCGCTGCTGTGTTTAGCATAATTTTATTAAAACAACAATTAATGGTGTCTAAGAAAAAGCCGAATGTGGTACAAAGAAAAAGCCGGCGTAGTGGATTCGCCCATTACTTAAAAAGAAAAAACACCAATTAAAACTCAAAAATACAGGTAATTCGAAGAAGGAAGCATGTGAGAGAACCTGATTTATTCATTGCTTAGAGAGATGTGGTGATTGATGATCGCCGATGCTAACCGACGAAGGAATCGTTGGTAATGGGTGAATGAGTGAAGACGTAGAAGAAGGAGACCCGCGTAGGTGGATTCGCACGTCAAGTGCGGTAATTGAACTCCTTCAATAACCCAATTTTAATGGAAAAAAATAAAAAGGGGTAAAGGGTATGATAGGAAGGGTTTGACACCATAAATACCTAAGTTTGTAAAAAACAATAGGTAGTGCTAAATGCGTATTTTTGGGGGAATTAGAGTGCTATGTAGGGTGATTTCTTATAAATTTACTCTTTTCAAACGGAGGACCCAGGTAAATATTACTCCCTCCGTCCTATATCTTTCTTCCCGTTGCGTAAAACGAAAAAAATCCCAAGTTTTTTCAATTTATTTTATTTAAATATTGGTATAGAAATAAAAAATAAAACATACATATTTAAAAACTACATCAAAATTCAACAAAACAAGTGGTGACAAGAATATTTTATTTTATCATATAGGCCATGAAAAAACATAAATAAATATAAGTTTCAGTGAAGTTGGAATAGTGTTTTGGGAAAAAAGATAGGGAGGGAGTAGTTGAGCTGGAGCATAGCTGCAGCTAGGGTCGTTTCACGGCACACTCTCCACTAGCAACCACGCGCCGCCCAGGCATTCTCCAACAGAGGCCGCGCTGCTCGAAGAATGTGTCTTCGTCCTTTCCGCTTTCTCCATCAGAAAAAACCCTAACGGGTAACAACGAAGAACAAATCGTCGGCACCTCTCCCCCAAATAAGGTCAGAAACGCATTTACCTTATTATGTATATTGATGGCTGGGGAAGTATTGCATTTGGGGAGTGCTTTGTGTATGCATATGCATAGCTTTTGTTGATGACTTGATACGCATGTGCATACATTGCTGGTTTTTGCTTCCCCAATAATGCGGTCAAAGGTCAGGCTAGTATGTTTTTCAAAAAAATGACCGTGATGCCAAGTTGGGCTATCATTTTATTCTCGAAGTGGTTTTCTCACGTTTTTATAAGTTTCTCGTTATGATTAATGGTTTTCCTCTTTTTTCAGTTTCATTTTCCCTTTTGTAGGTTGATTTTGAAGGTTTACCTTCCTCCTGATTTTCTGTTAGGGGTTTGAAGGGGTATATGTAAAAGGCATTGCATGTGTTGAAAGAAGCATATGTGTTTGTGTGCGTTCATTGTGAAAGCATTTTTCTTTCACTTGCTATTATTTTCTTACTACTTCTTCTTTCCTTTGTATCAGGTCATGCCAAATTTCCTAGTCTATTGCAGGCTTGGACACTTGTGTATATCTATCTATTTTCATCTTCACATTTGAGAACATGTTTAGTTACAAGACTACTTCTGTATAACTCTGATTTTAGGAGTCACCCTGATTACATTTACATAATTTATTGTTTAAAGTGGGTACAATGAGTTCAGGCAGTTCTGAGAATGCCTGCTACTACTTTCTAAAATCATTTTCTACTCCATTTTAAACACTATTGTAGTTGAAAGAACATCACCTATGATTTATTAAGATTTTGCACTTTTGGACATGGAATTTTTTTTTCCAATTTCCATATGGTCCATCAAGAAATCTTCATTTTTTTTGCTGAAATTGGAAACCTCTCTTTCTGACTTAAATATTTATTTGATGGAATAAAAACAGACTCTTATGCATCGTCGTGTCTTTGCTATCATGCGACTCTCTTCAAGTGGGATGCTTATCAGTTTTATATGCTAAACTATTTTAGGTAGCTTTTCTGTGTAAATTATGGGAACAACTGATGATAGAGATGGAAGTGGTTGCTCACCTCTGCTGTCTCTAAAAAATGATTCCCTAGTTATGCCGGCTTCCCAGACAGCTCCAATTTCACAGCCAGAGCAACTTGACCAGCCTAAACGTTCTACTATGACAAGGCCAGGGTTTGGGACTTCTGGGAGACACATTAGTTTACTTACAAATCATTTTAAAGTTTCTGTGAAATGCCCTGATGAAACTTTTTACCACTATAATGTAAATAATTTACTTCACTTTCATCCTAATTTGAAGCCTTTCCACCTTGTTCTGTTTGGAGAAACTTACTATAAAATATTATTACAGGTTACTATAACCTACGAGGACAAGAGGGCTGTTAATGCCAGATGCATTGGGAGAAAAGTCATAAATAAACTTTATCAAACACATTCTTCTGAATTTTCTGGGAAGAGGTTTGCATATGACGGGGACAAAAGTCTGTACACAGTGGGGCCCCTGCCACAGAACACCATGGCATATACTGTAATTGTCGAAGAGGCTACACCTAAACCGTAATTTCTTTCACTTGTCAATTACTAGCATTGAGATTACGGGTTTGAAACTTTGAATATCTTATGATTTGGAGGTCAAACGGGTGCCTTGTAGGCACTCTCTGCTTCAGAAGTAAAAGAAAATTAAGACTTAGTGATTGAGAGTAAATAATCTTCTTTTTCTTCACATAAGAACGAGTACATGTATTTATATTTATACACTCTAGGTTGATGCATTCTAGGGTGGACCATAATCATTCACTCTTAATGTGTTTCATATATTATCAACTAGTGTAGTTTCACCTCTTTATATACTATATTTGCTTATTATGCCATTGCACGTGGTCCAGTGATGAGTCTGGCAAAAGGTCCAAGTGCTCTTTACAGTCAAAAACTTTCATAGTTGAGATCACTTATGCTGCTAAGATACCTTTGAGCTCTGTATCTCTCGCCCTTGAAGGAGCTGATCCAAAGCATGGCCAAGATGCACTCAGGGTTCTTGACATTATACTGCGCCAGAGAGCAGCTAATAGGTAGCAATAAGGTTCTTCATATTAAAAGTACATTTGTTTCAGCAAAGACTTATATCGATTTGAATGCTTTCTACAGAGGGTGCCTCTTGGTTGGTCAGTCATTCTTCCATGACGACTCAAGAAATTTCACTGAAATTGGAGGGGGTGTGACAGGTTGTCGCGGATTCCATTCTAGTTTTTGCGCAACCCATGGTGGCTTGTCCCTCAATATGGGTATCCCTCGAAACAACTTAATAGATGCATAACCCATAACTCGGGCTGTGAGCTGTAACTTCTGCTTATTATATGGTGCAGATGTCTCTACTACAGTGATTCTCACACCGGGGCCTGTAATCGATTTTTTGCTTCTAAACCAGGGTGTAAAGGAGCGGCATTACATTGACATTGATTGGGCAAGAGTAAGCAATGGTAGCTTTTTGTGCTCTCCTCCAAGACTATCTAAAGTCTAATTAAACTGCAACTTCGACAGGCAAAGAAAACGTTAAAAAATATGAGGGTTAAAGCTAGGCATAGCAACAGGGAATTTAAAATCATAGGGTTTAGTGAGCTACCTTGCCATAAGCAATTGTAAGTTCTTGTAATCTTGCAGCATATTTACTTTTTGTTATCTACTTATGGACAGATAAAAATTTTGATGTATGCCTATTGCTTTTTAAAGCTTTTCGATGAAAAAGAGAAATGGTGGTGGTTCACTTGATGATGGGGAAGTGATGGAGATTACTGTTTATGATTACTTCACTAAGCACCTTAATATAGAACTCACATATTCTGCATTCATGCCATGTGTTGATGTGGGAAAACCAAAAAAGCCCATTTACCTACCAATAGAGGTTTGCAGAATTCATCTTCATTATATTTCTAATTTCATATGTATACTGGATTGCTATCAGAATGCCTTCTGCCTTAAATGTTCTGAATGTTCTTTTCTTTCCTGACATATAGCTATGCTCTCTGGTGTCTCTTCAAAGATATACAAAGGAATTATCTTTTACACAAAGAGCGTCTTTAGTTGAAAGTTCAAGGCAGAAGCCTCCAGCAAGAATTCAAGTTGTAATTGACGTGAGTAGAAGCAATACTCATTTTTCGTTGCTCTAATTGTTGGACTGTCTAGCTTTACGTCTTAATTAAACTTGCAGGCTGTGAGAAACTATTGCTATGATGATGATCCATTTCTCGCTGCTTGTGGAATATCAACTGAAAAGCAGCTTTTGCAAGTTGATGGCAGGGTTCTTGATACACCGAAGGTAGTTTCTATATTTTGTCAAATTTTCTGTCCCATAAATTTATTTTTTTAATTTACTTGGATTTCGTTCTTTCACAACGGGCAGTTAAAGATTGGTAATGGCGAAGACTGTTTTCCTCGTAATGGCAGGTGGAACTTCAACAATAAGGTATTCTTTTCAATAATTTTTTGGGATGAGTTTTCGAATTTGGTTACACATTTATAGTATACCAAAGGCATCTGGAAATATACTTCATTGGTGGACAAGAAAAGCATATCATTTCAAGTAACAAATTGATTCCTTTGTATATATATATATTTAAATGTAGCAATTTTTTAAACCATTGCGGGTTGAGCGCTGGTCAATGGTCAACTTTTCTGCACGCTGTGATACAAGCCATCTTTCCAGGGAACTGATTAACTGTGCCAGGAACAAAGGCATTGTATGTAATTTGTTTTATAGTTTTTTTTCAAACTTGTGGTTTATACAATCACTCCACTATTTATTTGACGTGGTGGGCATGCCAGCATATGGAGCGGCCGCACACACTTGTTGAGGAAGATCCTCAGTATCGTCGGTCTAGTCCTGTAGTTCGCGTCGAAAAGATGTTTGAGTTGATTATGTCCAAGATCCCTGGCCCGCCTCAGCTTCTTCTTTGTGTTCTGCCAGAGCGCAAAAATTCAGATATATATGGTAATAGTCTTTATCTTGTACTTTTGTTCCTTGACATTTGACAAAAGTAAAATCTCAGTAACATATCTTTTAATAATATGGTTAGGACCTTGGAAGAAAAAATGTTTGGTTGACTTTGGGATCATTACACAATGTGTATCACCGATAAAGATTAACGATAATTATCTTACGAATGTTCTTCTCAAAATCAATGCTAAGGTAATGCTTCAACCAACTTATCATCATGTTAAGTACCCCTGCGGACATTGAACAGAAACTTAATTTTTTTTGTAGTCTTTGGCATTACATTAATAACTATTAACATCTTTTTGGGTTTTAAAGCTTGGTGGTAGCAATTCAATGTTGGCAACAGAGAAAATTCCTGGTATACCTATACTTAAGGACACACCGACAATGATTTTGGGTATAGATGTATCTCATGGATCCCCGGGGCGATCAGATGCTCCGTCCATTGCAGCGGTCATTCCTCTTTTGCTTATCTCTCTTATGACAATGATTAAAACATATTGCGATACCAATTAGATAAATGTCACACTAATTTCTTGCCTGTTTCTGGTCTGCAGGTGACTGGATCTCGATTCTGGCCATCAATCTCAAAGTACCGGGCCGCAGTTCGAACACAATCTTCTAAAGTAGAAATGATCGAATCTTTATACAAACCTTTAGCAGATGGGGAGGATGATGGTATCATGAGGTAAATTTCAAATTATCTGGACTTATGTAAATTTAACTGTGAAGAGATTCACTTATCTCGATTTGGGTAGCAATTTATTTGAAAATTCAATACTGTGCGACAGAGAACTGCTTGTGGACTTCTATCAAACAAGCAATGGGCGTAAACCAGCTCGCATAATTGTTTTCAGGTATTCCATGTCCATTTGGTTGCTTATCAAGATGAATAAAATAGCAGTGCCTAAATTCATTATGTTCAAATTTCGATGTCTTTGAACGTAAAATTCATCTTCATTTATGATGGAACTCAGTAGTGAGATGTGGTATTTTTCTTCTCATTCCCATAATCCTATCCTAGGGGGGTCACTCTTTTCCTCAAAAATTAAATTGTCTGCTGTTCCCATCATCTCCTATGCTTTTATTTGCAGATTGCCTGCCCTGTTAATATAATGATCACTCCATAACATGAAAAGAAATCTTATTTTCAGGGATGGTGTAAGTGAATCACAATTTAGTCAAGTTTTAAACATTGAGCTGGATCAGATTATCAAGGTAATCTTTTTGTCTGCTGCCAAAGTACTGCTCCTTCAATGGCATCAAACACTGATTCACACACAATCATAAAAACAACTTGAACATAATCGTTCATTTTTTTAGTTGAATAAAATCATCTCTTCTAAACAAGCAATAACATAGCCTTCTGTTTTGGCCCGTATAGTATCAACATCTTATAACAGTTTTTTTTAATATGGAGATTTTCTTCACCTATAGGCCTACCAGCATCTAGGTGAAGTTAAAGTCCCCAAATTTACTGTGATTGTGGCACAGAAAAATCACCACACAAGGCTATTCCAAGCTGGTGCAACCGAAAATGTTCCAGCAGGTCTGTATTTTCTTACCATCATGCTTCTAGTTCTTTCAAAGCACTAAATGATACTGCATGTGCTGACTCTCTCTCTCTCTCTCTCATCAGGCACTGTTGTTGATACAAAAATAGTGCATCCAAGAAGATATGACTTTTACATGTGTTCTCACACAGTGATGATGGTAACTTATAGCATTGCCTTCTAACTAGTGCTTTCAAGTTAATAGGATTGCTTTTAAATCTTGTGTGTGTATTCATATATTTGCAGAAAGGAAAATGAAAATCTGTATTCTCAGAAAATCCTAGTTTGCACAAAGGAAAATATGTTTTTCTAGGAAATCCTAGTCAGTTGTTCCATATATAAGACATAATGTTTGATTGACATAGCTACAAAAATACAACACTTCCAAGACAATGCCTTGCCTTGCTGTTTCCTCAAAAGTCTAAAAGAATAACGGAAAACATTTTCAAGAAAATCAGAAAACATTATCCTGGAAAAAAACAGAGCACAATTGGAGATTTTCCAGGAATTGGAATTAGATGGGCTTAAATAGAGAAAAGAAAACTAGTCAGAGATCCGAACAAGAACCAAAAGCTGCCCATTCAAATTTCCTCTTGAAACTGAAAATCTGTCCATCTCTGTATCAAACAGGGAACTACTCGACCTGCCCATTACCATGTCTTGTATGATGAGATTGGCTTCTCTCCCGATGACTTACAAAGCCTAATCCATTCTCTATCATACGTGTAAGCTTTCATACCCCCAAAAAACTCCATTCTTTCATCCCAACCTGTGCAGTTCAGTCAAACAACTAACCATTTTCTGTATCAATATTTTTTCAGGAATCAAAGGAGCACTACAGCCACCTCACTAGGTACATTAATTCTTGCAATCGAAGAACATCTAGTCATTTATGTAACGAGAAAAGTAATAGGGGCCAACCTCTCTTCATCTCATTTGCTCTCTTAATGCAGTTGCACCTGTATATTACGCTCACCTTGCTGCACGCCAAGTGGGACAGTTCATCAACTTTGACGAGCTCTCCGAAATTTCTTCAAGCACCACACCCGTTCCTGAGTTGCCCTTATTGCATGAGGAGGTGGAGGACTCCATGTTCTTCTGCTGACGAATTGGCCTCAACATTTTGTTTTTCTTTTTGCTAACTGTACGCGATTTTGGTCAGGATTTAGCCATACGCAAGTAATTTTAAAACTTGACTTAATTTTGGTAGTATTAATTTGGAGCTAGATTTGCTTCTGTAGCAGAGTACGTACAATGCATGATGCATTGATATGGTCTTTGATTGTACATCAGAATATAAGCTCAGTATATATTATGCAGTTACAAATCTTCCCTTTCACATTCAAGTTCCAACTGCTAAAATAATATTGCTAGGGGTACCCGAACGGTCACCCCAAGGTCGCACTTACCCTTCCAAGAGACACAGACCTTGATATTGGTAACTATCTAGGCATGTTTGTTAGAAGGCGGGATAAATTTCAGATAACTCTTGGGTGGAGGTGATTTACATGACGGGCAAACCCAAACTACATGTCTAAAATAAAATAAAAATCCTAAAACATCAAACATTGTTTGTAAATTGAAACATACACCGTGCAAAACAATACAATCAACACCCCCTGCCCCAGCGCCTTGGCTGGGGTGCGACCTTTCTATCGAAGAACATTGCAACTGCAAAAGAAAATCAATTACAATTTCTCTAAACATAGAAGTTATAGGTGCCTAAAGTCTACAAGTGATCGATAAACTATTGCTAATATTTTACGGAGTAGCTAGGTAATATGGAGCTTCCATTTTTTTCTTGATTACGTAAGTTACAAAACATGTATTCATGTTAATTATTCTTTCCATTTTGTCTCAGGTGCAATATCACTTGTTCACTGTTGGAAATATGTTGCAACCCGAAGAGAACTTTTGTGAAGAAGCTAAGGATGTTCCACCACATGGCCGGGAAGTATTAACCTTATTCATATACTCACATTAATTAAAATATACTGGCGGATGGGTACATAGTAGGGATCGGAGTATATCTTTAATTTTCGTAGTACAACTAAATAGTGTGTATAATAAGCTAGTGTAATTTGTGGAGAACTAATTAATTACATAATGGCGAGACACCGTCACTCTCAACATCATTTCTGAAGCTCACATTGTTGCATGAAGCTTTAGCATCACCGCCTCCTTCCCTTTTCAAATTCACATTGCGAAGAAGTATCCCTTGGCACGGATACCTCTTGCTGCAATCAAACTCGATCGCCGTCTCTGTAGCACTCGTTCCTGATATGTTTTCGTATTCAACATTTTTCACTTCCACATTCGAGCTCTCCATGCATATATATATATAAATAAATGTTAGGCCGCTTATAAACAAATCTCGTATACTCGTATGGATATTTAATTAATTGTATATATACTCCGTATATATGTTTAAGAGTCCAGCTAATTAATTACTCCCTCTCCTGTAATCCTGTATTATATTTTTCTTCTCATTTTGATTTTTATGGTTAATATTTTTAAAGTTTGAGTATAATTATTTATGAAAAAAAACACATTGAATTGTGATATAAATTTAGGAAAATGTTAGGAATACCTTAAAAAGTACTGTAGTAAAATTTGCACTAAATAGGACTAAAACATAATAACTTTCCCAATATATAACTTAAACTTTTTTTATTCCCTAAATAGGACTTAATAATGACCTAGTGTGAGGAATAATGTCCAGTAATAATGGACATTTACTTGAATAATAACTACTTGATAATGACCAAAAGTCCTACATTGGGAAATAAAAACATATGGTCCTATATTGGGAGTGTCATTATGTTTTAGTCCTATTTAGGTAAATTTCTCTAAAAAGTATACCTCAATTAACACAGGCATAATGTATGTGCCGGAATAAAATGTCTGTGTTTGTCTTTGATGTACAACTAGAATATACATTTTGGTTTGCGTCTAGTATTTTTCATAAACTCAATATCAATAGATTCATTTTGAAACGTAGTTTTGAAATACGAGTATCATATTTTTTTATAATTTATGTTTATATATAAGTTAAAATATTATTGTTCAAAGGATTGTATTGCATTGAAGTCCTAGAAAAATCAAATACGGAGTATATATGAACAAAGATATGAGATAAATGAAGCATTAACTAATTATGGAGTAAATAGTACTCTCTCCGTCTTAAAACTTTTTTGATGTTCACTGATAGAATTTAGGATGGGTATGGACAATTGGATTGGGCAATAAGACATTTGGGTTGAACCACATTAAAAGATTGAATCCAATCGATTAGTTAATTCAACTCAAGGGCTTATGTATGTGCCGGAATAAAATGTCTGTGTTTGTCTTTGATGTACAACTAGAATATACATTTTGGTTTGCGTCTAGTATTTTTCATAAACTCAATATCAATAGATTCATTTTGAAACGTAGTTTTGAAATACGAGTATCATATTTTTTTATAATTTATGTTTATATATAAGTTAAAATATTATTGTTCAAAGGATTGTATTGCATTGAAGTCCTAGAAAAATCAAATACGGAGTATATATG